ATGTGTCATTGAACATACAACAACTTTTGAACGGTCCTCCTTCTCCACATTTGTAAACACTGACTGAGTCGGTACTTCCGCCGACGTCAAGCATGACCTTTTCAACGTAATTACGTATTACGTGAAGTCATGGACGCGCATCGCAGAGCAGTGCAAGGCGCGCATTTTTGTTTATAAAGCATATACTTTTTTTTTTAGAAGATGACCTATCGTTTCGCTAGATAATAATAATAATAATAATAACCCTTATTCCTCGTCTGGTATCGTGTAGAAGTTTAGAAGCTGCACTGAAACTGTCATTTTGACCTTCAACCGTTTGGTAGCCGTTGAAGTTCACTATAAGGAGAATAATCCTGGAATGTTTTCATCAAAAACCTTAATTTCTTTTCGACTGAAGAAAGAAAGACGTAAACATCTTGGATGACATGGGGGTGAGTACATTATCAGGAAATTTTTATTTGAAAGTGAACTAATCCTTTAAGTGCAAAAAATGATTCCAAGTTACTGCATGTAAGTGTTGCTATGTTAACCACTAGAACAGTGTTATATATTTTGCTGACTTGTGTACTTACATTATCCCAAATGTTTCGAAGAAGCCCACCGGCAACTATAGTTGCCGCAGTTTATAGTTGTCATTCTCCTTTTTTAAGTATTTTTCTAGATGTTATCCATGTTTTATTTCTCAATGACATGCAAGCGAACAACCAAATAAAGGATTTCAAGAAAAAAAAAAAGGTCTTCACTTCCTTCCTGTCACATGAGGCTGTCAAGTTCCTACCCCTACTTCCAGGAAGCATGGCGAAGGCAAACCCTCCCAAAGAAATGTAATTTTCATGTTACTAATAAGCGCGTTTCAAAAAGGCGGGGCATAGAGGAGAAACAATAATGTACAGTATGTGGAAAATAATGTGTTTTTTGAACTTTAAACCGCATAAACACATTTAATTACACCAAATACACAAAATAATGTTCTTTTTAGCAGCATCATATGACCCCTTTAATATCAATATTGGCAAGAGTTTTGCTGCTTCGTATTTTTTTGTAACCTGTGATAATTCTTTCAGGATTCTTTGATGAATAAAACGTTAAAAAGAACAGCATTTATTCAAAATAGAAATCTTTTGTAACAATATACACTACCGTTCAAAAGTCTTTTTTTCTTTCTTTTTTTGAAAGAAATTAATGCTTTAATTCAACAAGGATGTGTTAAATTGATAAAAAGTAATAATAATCTATTCTACATATAATATATTCTAATATATTGTTAGAAAAGATTTATATTTTAAATAAACACTGTTCTTTTTAACTTTATTCATCAAATAATCCTAAAAAAAGTATCACAGGTTTGAAAAAATATATTAAGCCGCAAAACTGTTTACAACATTGATAATAAATCAGCATATTAGAATGATTTCTGAAGGATCATGTGACAATGAAGATTGGAGTAATGGCTGATGAAAATTCAGCTTTGATCACAGCAATAAATTATATTTTAAAGTATATTAAAATAGAAAACCAGTATTTTAAATGGTAATAATATTTTACAGTATTACTGTATTTTATGTATTTATGAATTTATGAATTTTAACACATAAAAAATCTTACTGATCCCAAACTTTTGAACAGCAGTGTACATATTTATATTTTTCATTTCAAGAGACGTGCTTTATTAAAATTCAACATTTTCCGTTTTGAAATAACACTATTCACAAAATCATTCACATGAGGCATACATGTTGATCTTGTGCAGAAAACTCCTGGCATCCCTTTATCCAGGAATCTGTGCTATGCCATTGGAGGAATGCCTTATCAAATGACTGGAACCGCCAAGGGCTTTTTCATGCAGATATTTTTATTGGATGTTGTGAAGGTGTGTATATATGAATTAAAGATGTGGTTTTTAGCAGCTGCCAGTAATGAATACCATATATACCATATATCCTCTGTACAAATTCAGTTTCACAGTGGCCTGTTTACACACAATTGTGTAAATGTGCCACATTATATTATGTGCATGATGCTCCATCATCAACACTTCCTCACTTTGCATGTCATGTTTGCATGCCATGTTCAACACTACTACAACTCTAAACTGTTAGCACAGGAAGTATGTTAAATGGAATATGAAAGATCTTGAGAAAGTTCATATATTAATATACTTTAACAGCATGGTAGAACATTGTGTAACTGCATTGTATACTACAAAAGAAATTATGTTACAAAAATGGTGCACAGTAAGTATGTTAGAAGAGATTTTCTTCTATCCTTATGTTTGCTATAGATGGGAGCTTTCTCTGCATCCATCATTCTCTTCCTTGGTCGAGCTTGGGATGCCATTTCGGATCCTCTGATTGGATATGCCGTGAGCAAGAGTGGCCGGACCAGAATTGGCAAACTTATTCCTTGGTGAGTGTACTGGTTAATTTCAGAATGGGTGTGAAGCACTTCCTCCAATCTCATTGAAATATTTCACAGCTGGACCACAGGTTGCTTACATGTGTATTACAAATGTTGAGCATATAAATGGTAATAGATGGTGTACACTTTCAAAGACATTTTTTAATATGCTGATTGTTCATCATGTGCCACTCTGCTTATCCACGCTCTTTACGTAGGATTGTGTTCACAATGCCACTTGGGGTCCTATCATACGTTATGCTCTGGTATACCCCACAGGACACCATGTCCCCTGCCTTTAGTTTCGGCTGGTACTTCACATGGTGCTGTCTGTTTGACACCTTCATGAGTGTAAGCCCAATATTATCTGCCTATAGTTTTCTGTTGTTTTACACATTCAGCGTTAAGGATGTTCAGCAGTTAAGGACATTTCCTGCATAGGGGGAAGACTAAATGTAAATTAGTTTTGAATTGCAAACAAATATACAGTGACACTATAGTTTCCACCTCTTTCCTGTGAAGTACTCATGGTGAGTAAATTTAGTACTCACCACAGCAGTTTTCAAACAGCTGTGTTTGCTTATAACAATCCTTTGCTAGGATTCATAACTGACTCCAAAACATTTAATTCTCTTTCTGTCTCATTCAGTGCTACCATGTGCCATATTCTTCCCTAAACATGTTTCTGGGGGGGAATGAGAAGGATCGAGACTCAGCCACTTGTTACAGTAAGAAAATAGTCTTAAACGGCAATCATTGTGGTCCGAGCACCAATAGTAGATGATTAGATTGTGGCAAGCTGATCGAATTGCAATATATCTTTCTAAATGTTAATGCAAAGCCAACTATCTTAAATCTCCAATTATACTGTATGTTAGGGTTAGATGAAACAGCTTACAGAAACACATGTTAGTTTCAAAAGAAATAACTGACTTCAAAACGAAAATCAGAAAATATTCAGCCATTGGCAATGGGATTTCTTGTAAAAGGATTTCTTGCCCTGTGACTCTCTAGTGTACAACATTAGCATTATAGCCTTCATTCTGTCATTCACAGTCACAAATAAATGACTGATCTAATTGCTAATCTAATAGCCCCATAGCATCAGAAATTCATGAGATTTGGCATGTTGCATCCAAATATACTGTTGTCCATGTACATTCACAAGAAATAGGCCAATTAGATATTATGGGCCACATAAAAAAAAAACTATATATATATATATATATCAGCCAATATCTGCTAAACGATTAAATGAATTATAAATCTGTTAATGAACTTGATTGAACTTATTGCCAGGAGCACCTTAAGATAGAGTAGGCTATAGAAATTTTATGTGAAGCAGACAAGCGTCCTAAGAGGAGGGGGGCAGAAAACTTTGAACTTTGAAACTTTCTTCATTGCTTAGAGCCCTGACAATCATTACTGTTACAGTCAGATCCACTACAATCTTTTTCTATCAAGCACCGATCTAAGAACAGGTCAAAATCTCAAAATATTGTAAATTCAAATTATCATTTGTGTATAAGTAACACCATTCATGTGTGCCATTCATAACTGAATTGATGGATACCTTTTATAGTCCTCCTGAATTTGAATTGAATTTGAATTGAGATTGCAAAAGGAAGAATCACTATTCAAATTTTCATAAGGAAATTGAATTAAAATGAATTGGAATTCTACGGAATTCCTAAGAGGCCATGGATTATTATTTTTCTTTCTTGTTTTCTCGTAATCACGACTTAATCTTGTGATCTCGACATAAACATTTTCTTGTGATCACGACTTTATTATCTCGTGATCTCAACATAACGAAAGTTGTTTTCTTGTTATCACGACTTAATTTTTTTCTGATCTCGACATAACAAAAGTTGTTCTCTAAGTTACACAACAGCGCCAACAGGTGGCAGTAGGAACCTGAATATAGGCTAACTGATGGGGTGTTATACTGTATATCCACCTTACTGTATGCGTTTGGGACAGAATAAGGACCTTCTTCGTGATCGCTATAATTTGTGCAGTATTGTTCATTACTAACATTTAATTAACTCCTAAATGTTAAATGCTTGAATTAATGATTATTTTGTGTAGATTATCTGTTATTGTTAAGTTACTTTAGTATTTTCTACATTTCTTTGTAGGAAACCACACACACACACACACTCTCACACACACACACACACACACACACACACAAACACTCTTTTCAAACAGCATCCCAAGCTTGTAACGCACATGATATCAGTCAGCATATCCTACATGACTAATAAAAATCACAAACAAATTATATATAATTTTATTTCAAATAAAAGGAAAATAAAGTTGAATCCAAACAGCTCTAAAAGATATTCGAATAGTTCTCTACATCCTTCTGAAGGCAGCCTGTGATTGCGGTGTTGCTTTGACCATTTAACAAAATGTTTAGCGTACTGTCTCTGGAAAAAAATGAACAGTGATTGATTAGCTTATATTTATTTATTGTAGACGTTATTGCTAAGCGAAGCAAAATTTGCTGAAATATCCACAACATACAGTATAAGAGAGCATGGTTTATCTGTCGATCAGCTGCGTGTCAAAGTTGCGTTCATTACTATAGCAGCAGTAAACGCATTGTGTTTTAAAAAACAAACAATCATTGTAAAAAAAAAACTACTTTTGTTATGTTGAGACAAATAGTCTTTGGTTGAGATCACGAGAAAATTAAGTTGTGATCACAAGAAAACAAGAAAGAAAAATAATTATAATCCATAGCCTCTTAGGACTTCCGAAGAATTCAAATACACTCAGAAAAAAGCAAATAAAAAAGAAAAACTATGAATGTTGGTTCGTCATAGTCTTCGAAAGTTTTGAAAAAAGTTTAAAAAGTTTTGACGTTTGAAGGTTTATATTCCTTACAGACAGAGAACAACAGCTAGCTAGCTAGATCATACTTCCTCTCGTCATCCTTTTTTATTATTATTTGTAAGCAGGATACATTGGAAATAGAGAGCAGAAACTTATATAACCTTAACTGAAATCTATTTCCTGTATAAAAAAGAACTTTGTTCTCTCTCACGATACAGGAATGGGCATGGAAGTGTTCGCTACACTGGCGGGAGCTGCCATTCAGGGTCAGATAGTGGGGGTGCACCATGCCAAGAGGACACACGTCTGCAGTTTACAGAATGGCACGGAAGGGCCTTCTGGGAACCACACAGACTCACTGGATGACATATCTGACACTCTACAAAATACAGTGAGGCACAGAGAACATCCTATTCCCATTGTGCCAAGCACATATGGATAGTGGAATTTGTTATTAGTTATTGCTTGTGAAATGGCTACACATATTGACTGTGAACTATCAAGGCAACTGTTTTTCCTAAATTCATTATTTAGTCATGTGTTGAGGATAAGATACTTCCTTGTTTTGAGCATATGTAGGCCGTTTCTCTGGAACTGTTGTACCAGAGAATGTAGTGCCTCCAGATTTAAATATCATAAATATCATACTTTAAATATGACATTAGAATACTGTTTCTTAACTCAGCAACTAAGTTTATTCTGTTATATTTCCAGAAACAGGAATTAGATTCTTTAGACTAGGTATTTTAAGATCAACGTTGTTCTTCCCAGTTTTCTCATTTCATAAGTTTTGATGTTGCACAGTGTCTGAATATCCACTACTAAAGGTTCAAAAGGTTGGTGTGTCATGGTTTATCCAATGAAGATGACGAAGGTAATTCAAAATAATAGTTAAGTTTATTAAACAAAGGAAATCAGAATACCTCAGAAAGCAAACGCAATGTAACAGTGTGTATTACACAAACATCACCAGACAAAGAACTGATAGAAACTGAAGGCTTAAGTGGAGTGGAGCTGATGAAGGTGAATGATGGCAGGTGTGGATGATAGAGCAGTGTGGGCAGATGGGAACCAGGAGGGATCATGGGAAATGTAGTGTAGAGGTGACAAACTAGATCATGACTGAATCTAATAGAAATACAAACAATAAACATAACCAAAGACTCAGACTATGACATGGGGTCAGAAAGATTTTTTTATGTTTTTGAAAGAAGTCTCTTATCCTCGCTAAGGTTGTATTTATTTGATCAAAAATACAGTAGAAACAGTAATAATGTGACATATTATTACAATTTTCCATTTTTATATTTTTTAAAATGTAATTTATTCGTGTGATGGCAAAGCTGAATTTTCAGCAGCCATTACTCCAGTCTTCAGTGTCACATGATCCTTCAGAAATCCTTCTAATATGCTCAAGAAAGAATATTATCCGTTGCTCTAGAAACATTTCTTATTATGATCAGTGTTGGAAACAGTTGTGCTGCTTCATATTTTTGTGGAAACAGTAATCAATTTTTTCAGGGTTCTTTATTTGAAATACAATACTCTTGTAACATTTAAAATGTCTCTGCTCTCACTTTTGATCGATTGAATGCATCCTTGCTGAATAAAAATATTAACTTAAAAAAAAAACTTTCTGACCCCAAACTTTTTAACGGTAGTGCCATTTGTCTTTTAATTTCTACAGAGAAGAGCCTATTTGACTGGAGCATTACTATTGGGAATGCTGTACTTTCTGTGCTGCCTCGTGCTTTTTCTTGGAGTGAAGGAGCAGTCGGGTAGGTCCAAATGAGTTGACATGAGTTAAAATATCAGATAAGTTGTGTTTACCATATGTTCTTTCAGCCTTCACTAAGAGTACCACATCAATTTTGAAACACATACACTGTAAAATCGAACAGTGAAATGAAATGAGTTTATTTCACTCAAATAATAATGAAAGTTCATTGGACTTAATTGAAAAAAGTTCTGTGAACTCAACATTTCTTGTAGTAAGCTGAGCTTAAAATGATTGAGTTTTCTAGTTTCCTGCATGCTTTGCATCAGACAATATAAGGAAAAGAATTGTTGAAATTAAGTGTTATTTTGTGTGTTTTTGCACAAGTTTAGCATGGGGAGACTTAAGTTAGTATATAATGTTGTATTATGTTAGGATTTGCAGAGGTTTCTGTTATGTTGGTTTTGTAGTGTTACTGTTGTAGGGAAGAGTAGAGCCTGTGGTTAGGTTGAGGATGGACAGCAAAACTTTAAGACTACTTATACTGCATGTTATTTGACTATTTACATGCAAGTGTATAGTGGGAGTCTTTTATAGCTATATTAGCTATATTGCTATATTAGCTATATTTATTGATAGCTATATTAGCACATGCTAGTGTGCTGTTGCAGTGACTAGACTGATATAATGACTTGCATGTGTCTACATCTCATTTTAGCCCCTCTGAGTAAACTGGACCGCATAAGTGTCCCCTATCTAACTGGAATGAAGATGGTGGTGAGACACACTCCATATGTGTGGCTTGTATTCGGCTTCCTTTTTGCTTCACTTGCCTTTCAGGTCAGAAGTTTTTCTGTTTAAATTATGAATGAATTTTGAAGTGCTTGTGGTTGATATCAAAATACCAAAAGTGCCCTGTCTGTTACGTATTATGGTTAGAGTCATAGTCTTATCAAGTCATAACGATAAGAATATTTGTTTCAGATGGCTCAAGGAAATTTTGCCCTCTTCTGCACTCACGCAGCAAATATGGGAGCATATTTCCAGCATCTTGTTCTCATACTATTGGTGAGGGATTTATTATTTCTAATTATTATTATATGAAAGTATTATTATTATTATTTTATTATATGAAATACTACAATGAGCTAGTTTACAAAATCTGACATGTAAAGAAAAAAAAGTCAGGTTCATTTGTTCATATTAAATATTTTTACTTGACCTATTAATTAAGATGTTACAACATGAAGCAAATTAAATCATGCAAAATAAATTATAAAATGTATATTATATTAAATCACAGTATTAAAATGTTTTTGAATCATCTTAGATTTATCTTACAAATTACTTCTAAAATTATACAGGTTTAACGATAAATTTTTAATTATGTAGCATGGTATGTTTTTCATGGTAATTTAATTCTTTCTGCTCTTGTACAGACATCAGCTACAATATCCATCCCAATGTGGCAGACACTACTGGCCTATCTAACTGGAATGAAGATGGTGGTGAGACACACTCCATATGTGTGGCTTGTATTCGGCTTCCTTTTTGCTTCACTTGCCTTTCAGGTCAGAAGTTTTTCTGTTTAAATTATGAATGAATTTTGAAGTGCTTGTGGTTGATATCAAAATACCAAAAGTGCCCTGTCTGTTACGTATTATGGTTAGAGTCATAGTCTTATCAAGTCATAACGATAAGAATATTTGTTTCAGATGGCTCAAGGAAATTTTGCCCTCTTCTGCACTCACGCAGCAAATATGGGAGCATATTTCCAGCATCTTGTTCTCATACTATTGGTGAGGGATTTATTATTTCTAATTATTATTATATGAAAGTATTATTATTATTATTTTATTATATGAAATACTACAATGAGCTAGTTTACAAAATCTGACATGTAAAGAAAAAAAAGTCAGGTTCATTTGTTCATATTAAATATTTTTACTTGACCTATTAATTAAGATGTTACAACATGAAGCAAATTAAATCATGCAAAATAAATTATAAAATGTATATTATATTAAATCACAGTATTAAAATGTTTTTGAATCATCTTAGATTTATCTTACAAATTACTTCTAAAATTATACAGGTTTAACGATAAATTTTTAATTATGTAGCATGGTATGTTTTTCATGGTAATTTAATTCTTTCTGCTCTTGTACAGACATCAGCTACAATATCCATCCCAATGTGGCAGACACTACTGGTCAAAAAAGGCAAGAAGACCACCATATTCATCGGCCTATCAGTGAGCACCACTCTTTGTTATTGGTTGTTTAATGGTTGCACAAAAATGGAATTGGAGTGCTGTAACAAATATATCTGTAGGGGATTTACAGTTAAACTCAAGGACCATGTATGATGAATGAAGACCAGGAGTCAGAGATTAAATCAATTGAAGAAAAATTTACTGAAGAAAAGAGTTTGCAGTTTCATCAGCAGAAGTCAGCTTCAATACTCGCGAGGAGTTCGTAGGCCGCTCTGCATTCATTCTCAATACAGAAGTACTCTAACAAAAGGTCATTAACTACGTCATTACTTAGGTAAAAATTATTCTGATTGGTCAAATCGTAGAAAAACGAAACAATTTTTTTAAAGAACGTTTGAACGATTCTCGATTTTTACGATTTTTAACTAGTCAACTTGAAAATGTAACTACAACATAATTCAAGTAACGTTTTCTTTATTAGCCCTCTAGTTCTAAATTTCTATTCCAAGTGCACCACACATGAAGTTGTCAACATGATGTAAATGTTGAACAAATCACTTGTTAAATATCTTTGCAAAAAAGATGCATAAACTACAACTACATATTGTACACACTTGTCTTATACATATTATGTGTTCAGAAATAATACAAGGAAAATGCTTTTTAAAAAATCTCAAAAGTCAAGGTAATTCATATTCAAAATGACTGAAGACATCAGTAGACTATTATTAACTATAAATGTTCTGTAAAAACAATGAACAGCCGCTTTCAGCCTGTCACCATGATGCAAACATGAAATATCATACATACAGTAGTAGTTGTTTACAGGTTTTTTATTAGATTACGCTGCTTTTCCATTGTTTTTTTTCTATGTAAACATGGACGCATTTGACTGTTGTGCTCGCGTCTCTTGCAGCGTCTCATGCATGAAACGGCATTCTAAAAATGTGGCGCTCAAGTTAAAAAAAGTTCAACTCCCATCTTCCTGCGTTTTTTAGGGTTAGGGTTAGGGTGATTTCTCGATTTATAAAAAATGTAATTGTAGCAAAACATTAAATTCGAATTAATGGATAAAATCTGAAAAATCGCCCAGCCCTACTTCTAAGGTTATTTAGGTGACAAGCGTTTAGAGTTCACACGCAACGCACTGCTCCCGAGACGTATATCTGCCATCCTTGTGTCAAGATCTGCATATGAGTTCTCCCTCCTGGGTGCTGTCCTGAATCCGGCACAGACTGATACCAACACACATACAGAGAGAAACCCTAATCTACTTCAAGGTCGAGTAGTTAGACTCTTACTCTTATCAGGTACTGATCCCAAAACACACAATTAATGCAGTTTCTCAGAGAGAGAAAAGGAGAGAAGCTCAGACCATATTCAGCTTTATTCTTTAATATACAGTCATAGAAAACAACCTAAATGTTCTGAGTACACGTTGGTCACATAGAAAAGAGGCCCTGCTGCCTTCTATGATATAGGCAGAGACCTTTAACCTGAGAGGAGTAAATAGTTAACATATGGAAAAGCTTCTCACGAACAAGAAAAACACATTCTAATAGCATAGTTCATCTTAGTGACTATTAAGAGTATATGGTAGATCATAACTTTATTCAATCAATTAAAACATAAGAGGTTAAATACTGATTAATAATTTGATTAATAATCACTCCAAAAAATATTATATATA